TGCTGTTGGGGAGGCTGCTCTCAGACAAAGTTTTAATGGCCTGGGGACAGGACAAAACCCCGAGGTTTCCTCAGTGACCTCTCCGGGCTCTATCCTCTCAAGATTGTGCCAATCCTTTGAGTGGGTTTCTTGTCTTCATACTCCATCTCTGTGCCTCTCTGGGGGCCTGTGATGTATGTCCAGTCCTTTAACAGCCTCTGCCCTGTCAAGATGTCTGCAGGCCCTAGTGTTTGCATTCAGCTCGATGAAAAATGCTTCACCTTCAGGGCTAAGGTCACGGCATCTTCATGTTCAAGTTTGGACTCCTTGACTTATGAGCTGTGTGACCTTGGGCAAGTCACAGACCTTCTCTGTAAGTTAGTTTCCTCATCCACAGAATAGGAAAAAGGGACCCTGTCTCCTGGACTGTGTGGATAGAGAGGGGTGCGGAGCACACAGTAGGGCTAGTCTGCTGATTCTCTCGCCCCATCGCGTCTCCCTCTGCTCAGGAGTGGGCCTCTGGCCCATCTGCACCCACGGGGTCAGATCTGCATTGTAACCAGACCCAGGGACCCTCTAGTACTTTGCAGTTTGAGAAGCGCTGACGGATGTCTCTCCCGCTGACCAGGCTTTGCGTGAGTCGTCCTCTGGGCAGCCCGGATGGCCGGTATCCCCACTGGATGGCTGGGGAAATGGAGGCTGAGGGAAGTAGCCCGGTGGGTGCGGGTTACACACCAGTAAGTGGTGCGCCCAGATGTGCACTCAGGGTACAGCGCCAGCTCAGAGCCACCATGCTGTGCTGCCACATGCACCCAGGTGAGAGCTCTGAGCGGGTGGGCAGTGAATAGCTGAGAGCGTGTAACATCTCCAGGCTTGCCTACCAGGCTGTTTCTTCACTTGGGCTGTGTGCCTGGAGAGGTGCTTGGACAGCTCTCCAGGGTGCACAGTTTAGCTGGGGAGATCCCAGGCACCTGAGAAGGACAGTATCAGGTGGTCAGTGCAGAGTGTGGCCAGATCTGGTTGTAGAGTGAGTTTGGTTCAGAATATGTGTGCCTGGTCAGAAAGAGAAGGGTTGGTCCTGGCCGGTTTGGCTCAGTGGTTAGAGCGTCTGCCTGCGGTCCGGAGAGACCCGGGTTCGGTTCCCGCTAAGGGCATGTACTTCGGTTGCAGTTTGTCCCCGGCCCTGGTTGGTCGTGCGGGTGGCAGCCACTAGATGTTTCCCTCTCTCTCTCTTCCTCTCTCTCCCTCCCCCCACTCTATCTGTACAAAAAATGGAAAAATGTCCTCGGGTGAGGATAAAAAAAATAAAAATAAAAAAGAGAAGGGTTGGACTGGGCCAGGATGGTGGCAGCTGAGAGAACTTCCTAGAGGAGGTGGGACTTGAACTGGGCCACCAGACCCTGTTGTCTCATTCCCCAAGGCAGCCTAAGGGATGAGATTCTCAGAGCCTGTGTGCTCTGGGGTCTGCTGTGTGTGGGCTCTGCAGAGAGAAAGTCTCCATCATTTCACTGAGGGATCGGCAGCCCACGCTGGCAGTGTTCAGGGCTTCCTGGCCTCAGGTGGGCCGTGGGCCGCAGTGCCTGGCAGGCCCGGGGTCTGTTGGGAGGAGGGATGTGGCCTTCATCCGGGAGCTGTTGTTTGCGGTGCCATCTCAGCCGGTAAGGGTCACACCCCTGGGGGAATGCCTGCTGTGGTCGAGTCTGGGGCGCCGAGGTGCCAGGCAGAGTCCAGTTCAGGACTGGCCTGGCGGGCAGAGGGCAGTAGGGCAGATTAGTAGGGAGATAGCTGGGTGACAGTGGCTGGAGGTCTAAAGGCAGGCCCTGGACATTCTCAACCTCATTCTGCTCTGAATGGGAGAGTTTCAGAAAATGGGGGAAGTCTTTCTTTTCCCTCCTGGCCTCCCTGAAAAGCAGGTCCAGAGAGAACTCCAAATTCCCTGGGGAAGAGCAAGAGAAGCAGCGGCGATCTTACAGAGGAGAGGGTTGGGAAGGGCGTGGGATAAGGATCCTGAGCCTCCCCCTGGGTTAGTGAGACACCCTCCTTTCATTAGAGGAGCTGGGAGGGACGAATGAGCAGCCCATTCTGTGGCTCAGGCAACCGAGGAGATAAGACAGCAACAGGCGTTTTCTTGTCTCTTATTACGACAGTAATATATGCTCCTTATACAAAATTCCAAGAGGACAAAAATAGACCATGTTGGAAGTGACAGTTCCCTGCAACCTCACTTTCCCAAGATGACCATGGCTAATGCTGTGGTGTGTGGAATGATCGGTGGGGCTGAGGGCCCCTGACCTTTATGCCCCAGCAAAGGATGTCTGTGCTTGCCGGTTCCGGCTACTGGGCTGGGGCTTGGGGGCTGGAGGCCATACACTTCTCTTTTGCCCATCTCCCAGGATCTTCCTGCCCTAAGTAGGACCTCTGCCAGGTTTGGGGAAAGTGACCAGGGCTTGGCCTTTAAAGTCTCCATATGGTGCCGAGTGTTGGTAGTGAGGACCTGATGCTATTCTAATTCCTGATGTACAGACCTGTCTCCCCTCTTTGGAAGCCTTCAGAGTCTCCTTTTTATCCTGGTGTTGTGAAAGCAAACAGCGATACCTGTTGGCTGGGTCTTTCTTTGTTCATTGTGGTGCATACTTGTGGGCTCTTCTTTTTTAAAATGTTTTCTTTAAAAATTTTTTTATTATTAATTTGTTAGAGAGGAAGGGAGAGAGCGATAGAAACATCAAGGTGAGAAAGAAGCATCAATCAGCTGCCTCCTGCACGCCCCCTACCAGGGATTGAGCCCGCGACCCGGGCCTATACCCTGACTGAGAATCAAACTAGGACCTCTCAGTCCATAGGACGATGCTCAATCCACTGAGTCACACTGGCCGGGCTGTGGGCCCTTCTGTGCTGCTGTTGATGTCTTTCAGTTATGGAAAACTTTCCTCATTGTTTCTCTTTATCTCATTGTTTCATCCTCTTTGTGTTCTTTGCATGTACTCTGCCTTTTTTTCTTAGTTAATAAGATTTGTTTCAGAACAGTTTTATGTGTACAGAAAAAGGAGTGGAAAGTGCAGAGAGCTCCCTGTTTGTATTCCTTAAATCCCCCAGTTTCCTCCCTTAACATCTTGCATTAGTGTGCTACATTTATTACCACTGAGGAGCCAATATTGATACATTGTTATTCATTGGAGCCTGTAGTTCACATTAGGGTTCACTCTTCGTGTTTTATATTCTATGGGTTACAACAAATGTGCAATGACATGTATCTGTTGTTATAGTATCATACAGAATAGTTTCATTGCCCTAAAATACCCTGTGAATTGTTGATTTTCGGGTTTCTCAGCTTTTGTCTTATTTTGTGGATGGGAGGGTTGACTCCCCAGCCCCTCACACCTGGGAGCTGACTCTGCTGGCGTTGGACTCGCCATTGGCTTGGTGGTGCACTTCCTTGGATAAACCTCTAATAATCGCCTCATCTTTGTCCTACATTCTGGAGATTTCCCTCAGTTTATCTTGGAACATATCCTTTGGATTTTTATTTCAGCTCTTAAGTGCCAAGAGGTGACACATTCTGGGCGCTAGTGTGAGAAAGGGGCCATTTCCACTTTCTCCTGTTTCCAGCTGTACCTGCCTCCCTCATTTAGATTTGGAGTCTCTGCGTCCAGAACCTCTCTGGTTCAGTCTCTCTGCAGAGTCTCTCCACTCACATCTGTGGAGGTGGGCAGGGGTGTGACCTGGGTGCGTGGGGTGGGGACGGGGACCTTTGGAGGTGTCTGGGTGCTCCACACGGATGCTCTGTGGTGTGGCCAGCCAGCCAGAGTCGGCTCGGTCAGCCCTTCCTTCTTGGGCCTTGCCCTGGGAGTCTGAGTGGTTGGCAAGAAGGATTTGGGAAGCAGAGGAAGGAAGAGCTCTGTGCACACCCTGCCCTGGTCACGTGTGTTAGGGGGTCTCTCTGGGAGTGTGTAGTGGGAAGAACACGGACTTTGGGGTGATGAAAACCTGGCTCCGTGTCTCCCCTCCCCGGAGTCCTGGCTGTTTGTTCTTGGGTGAGTGACTACCTCTGAGCCTCGGCCTCCTAACCTGTGAAATTAGGGTAGTGTCTGTGAGCTCGTGGGCTTGATGTAAGGTGTAAGTAGGGGTGAGCTCATGGGCTTGATGTAAGGTGTAAGTAGGGGTGAGCTCATGGGCTTGATGTAAGGTGTAAGTAGGGGTGAGCTCGTGGGCTTGATGTAAGGTGTAAGTAGGGGTGAGCTCGTGGGCTTGATGTAAGGTGTAAGTAGGGGTGAGCTCGTGGGCTTGGTGTAAGGTGTGAGTAGGTGTGAGTGAGAGGAGAAGCCCTGCACTTCATTGTAACACACAGTCGATGCTCATCAGATAGGCACGCCTTCCATCCCTGGGCCTCTTGCTGAAGGCCCCTTTGTGGCATCTTGTCTGCTCCATCCTGCAGAGCTGTTCCTGATGGGGCTTGGCGTGAGTCAGTGAGTGGGGGAGGTGTGTGTACATGCACCAGTATTCCTGTGTTCCTGGCCCAGGGCCTCTGGGTGAGCTGTTCTTTCCTGGGCTCGTTGGTGGTTCAGAGCAGAGCTTTGGCTGGGACTGGCCAGGGGAGATGATGTAAACAGGGAAAAATGTGGGCAGGTCTGTCTGGAATGGGACTGGAGATGTAAGAGTCCTTCCCAGACCCAGTCTCACCACTCTGGGCCTCAGAGATTCAGCTGTAGGGGGGATGGGGCGGAGGGGAGGTCTCTGAGCTGCAGGGAAGATGCTGGCCTGGTAATTACCCCGGCCCTGCCTAGTAGCCCCAGAGCTTCCCCTACCCAGGATGTGGTTCTCTCCATCTTGGAAAAGTTTTGGATAGTTTCTCAGCCATGTTTGTGTCCCAGAAGGCAGGGTCTGTGTGTCAGGGCAGGAGTCTGTGGTAAGAGGCTGTCATGGCTCCCAAAGCCAGGAGAGGCCCTGCGAGGTGATGGGCACTGGTGGAGCCCGGGCTCCCTGTGTCTGTGACCAGAGCTCTGCCCCCCCTCCCCCAATCACAGGTGGTACCAGCTACACTCCAAGCCAGGCAAGAAGGAGAAGGAACGTGGGGAGATCCAAGTCACCATCCAGTTCACTCGTAACAACTTGAGCGCCAGCATGTTTGACCTGTCCATGAAGGACAAGCCGCGTTCCCCCTTTAGCAAGATCAAGGACAAGATGAAGGGCAAGAAGAAGTATGACCTGGAATCCGCCTCTGCCATCCTCCCAAGCAGTGCCCTAGAGGACCCAGAGCTGGGCAGCCTGGGCAAGATGGGCAAAGCCAAAGGCTTTTTCCTCCGCAGCAAGCTGCGCAAGTCGTCCCTGACCCAGTCCAACACCTCGCTGGGCTCAGACAGCACCTTGTCCTCAGCCAGTGGGAGCCTGGCCTACCAGGGCCCCGGCGCCGAGCTCCTCACCCGGTCCCCAAGCCGCAGCAGCTGGCTGTCCACCGAAGGGGGTGAGCGAGGGGCTGCACCTGCTGGGGAGGGTGGCGGAGGTCGGGCTGTCCCTCCAGGCAGCAGGGGAGGCCCGGGGCCAGGAAGCAGGGCTTCTCTTCCCTCTGCTAACCCCGCGTGTGCTTTCTTTTCAGGCAGGGACTCTGTGCAGTCCCCCAAGTTGTTTACCCACAAAAGGACCCACAGCGATGAGGCCAGCCAGATGCGAACAGCTCCTCCCCGGGCCCTCCTCGACCTTCAGGGCCACCTGGACCCGGCCACCCGCTCTTCTCTCTGTGTCAATGGGAGCCACATTTACAGTGAGGAGCCCCAGGGCCTCTTGAGGCACCGCAGCTCCATCTCGGGCCCGTTTCCACCCTGCAGCTCCCTACACAGTGTTTCTTCTCGGCCCTCCGAGGAGGGGCCTCGGTCTGCAGATGACTCCTGGGGCAGAGGCGGCCGCAGAGCCAGCAGCTCAGAGGCAGTGCCCGGACAGGGGGAGCTGAGCACTCAGGCCAAAGCGCTGGCCCCTGAGGCCGGCCACTCTGGAGAGGAGGAGGGGGCCCGGCTCCCCGAGGGGAAGCCAGTACAGGTCGCCACACCCATGGTGGCCTCCTCTGAGCCTGTGGCGGAGAAGGAGGGAGCCCGGAAGGAGGAGCGGAAGCCCCGGATGGGCCTCTTCCACCATCACCACCAGGGGCTGAGTTGGAGCGAGTTGGGGCGCCGTGGCTCTCTGGGGGAGAAGGGGGGTCCCCCTCTGGGGGCCTCCCCACATCATTCATCCAGTGGGGAGGAAAAGGTCAAGAGTAGCTGGTTTGGCTTGAGGGAAGCCAAGGAGCCAACTCAGAAACCCAGGTACGTTCTTGGCAAAACCAGCTTTGCCCCTCGGGGAGGAGGCTGGAGTGTTTGCAGCCTGGCTCGGGGGCTGGGAGGATGGAGCCGATGATGTGGCCCTTGGGCAGGCTGCTGGGCTCTGGCTTTGCATGGTTGAGTGGGACTGTCCCTAAGCCAAGGTTCTTGGTCTGCACTTGGAGGCAGGTGAGTCTCAAGGGCACAGTGCTCTGAGGGCCCAGTGGATTGAGTACAGCCCTTCACTGGTGGGCCTTGCTTCATGAGTGGGCACTCCACCCCCTGAGGGAGGGGGAGGAAAAGGAGAAAAACAAGAAGGTCATTCGTTTGAATTTTTGTTTCTTAACTCTGGCCCCAAGGCAAGGAAGCCTTGGCAGATAGCGAGGTAGGGACTGGTACTACTCCTCAGACTCCCCTGGGAGGGAAGTCAAGTAATTGGTGCCTCCCCCATCCCCCCGTACACCCACCTCCAACTGAAGCCCTGACATGGCAAGAGGCTGTGGGCAGCTCCCCTGAAACCTGTAACCTACCCTCTGCCCTTGGAGACCCTCGGCTCGACCCTCTGGGTCTCGTGGTCTTGAGGCATGGCAAGCGCTGCTATTGGCTGCTTTGTTTTGAGTGTGCTCAATCCCACGCAGAAGAGGCTGCAGAGCCCTTTAGCTCGGGCCCTGGATGGAGCTCCTAAGAGGGTTCTGATACCAATGAGGATTATGCACCCAGTTCCCATGTGTGTGGGGGGTTCCCCATGCATCCAAGGAATTCTCTGACACCAGCTGGGTGTCCTGCAATTCAGCTCAATTCTGACACTGTTTACTCAGAGACAGCATCAGATTCCACAGGTAAAGGGCGTCCAACAGGACAGACCACCCCTCCCTCACCCCCCCAGATGCCAGGCCAAAGTCGGTGCTCTGACTGACCGGCTGGACCTGGGAGGCTCCAGCAGCTCCCTCCTTGGGTTTGATTAACTTGCTAGAGCGGCTCACAGAACTCAGAGAAACATTTTACTTATTAGGTCATGGGTTTGTTATAAAAGGCTGTAACTCACTCCGGAACAGCCCGATGGAAGCGATGCACAGGGCATGGCGTGGGGAAAGGGCTCAGGGCTCCCATGCCTCTCAGCGTCAGCCTCCCCCGATTTCCCCGAGCTCACCAGCCTGGAAGCTCTCCCAGTCCTTTTGGGTTTTTGTGGAGGCTTCATTACATGGATGTGAGTGATTCCATCATTGACTATTGGTGATTGGTTCGACCTCCAGCCCCTCCCCACAAAAAATCTGGGGCTGGGACTGAAAGTTTATGGTTGGTTCCCTTGGCAACCAGCCCTCATCCCACTAGGTGCTTTCCAAAAGTCACCTCATTAACCTAAACCCAGTTGTGGTGAAAGGGGTTTATTATGAATAACTTATTGCACCTTTATGACTCTGAAGTGTTTTCAGGAACTGAGGACAAGACCAAATAGTATAACAAAAGATCCTCCCATTGCTGTTATCACTCAGGAAATTTCAAGAGTTTTGGGAGCTGTGATTCAGGAACTGTGGATGAAGACCACATATATATGAGAAATACATTTCTTATAAGTCACAGTATCGCAGCCCCTGACCACCACTCTAGTCCCTTTGCCTTTTTCTGACTCAGAGCCTTCAAAAGCTGCTGAATTGTCCAACAGGGCCCAGGGTGCGGCTCCAGGCCTAGGCCATAGGTGCATGTATTCGCCATTCTCGAAGGCTTGAGGCTGGTCCTGGACAGGAGCACCTGTGGCCACCTTAATCAGCGTGGCAAGCCTGCCCCTCCCCTTCCATGGATGTAGGGTGGGAAGGCTGGGCACAGTGGTGAGGGGTCAAGTGATAGGCTGGAGGGAAGGTCCCTAAACCTCTTCCCAGCAGAGGGAGAAGACTCCTGAAGTCCTGGTTCTTCTCTTTCCTTGTGAAATGCTGAGTGTGCCGAGAGGAATGGGGAGAGAAATTTAGGGCCTTTCTCTGTTTGGGCCCTGGCCAGCTGGTAGCCTCACAGACAGGCGTGTGGGGTGCATTAGCCTCAGTGATGCTACGCTTTGCTTCCCCTGCTTAGTACATCACCCTTGGTCCCTGCTGCCCTGCCCCTACCCAGCAGAACCCAGAGAACTGCTAGCCACCTGCAGCCTAGGGGAGGACCAGGAGGAAAGGGATGGGCCTTTCTCAGATGCCCAGGCTAAGCCTAGTGGCCCTGTGACAACTCAGAGATCTTTGTAGGTGGAGGAAGAGAGGGAGGTGGCAGAAGACCTAGACAGGGCATTTGCTGGGAGCAGCTAGGAGCCCGCGTCAGAGGGGCACAGACCATGGGCTTAGTGCTGTCATCTGTGGGGTGTCTCTTGGCCTTTTCTGGGGTCCGACAGATGCTGGGGATACCTCTCTATGAGGGTCATCTCTAGGTGCTTGCCCAGGCTTTGGGCTTAGACCCCCGCAGGCCATGACTTTGATGTTGGGGTTGTCACTGCTGCTTAAAGCCTCTGTTTTCCTTCACTTGTTTCTCTGTGTCTCCTAATGGCCTTTGAGAGTCCAGAGAAGTTGGGTCACTGATGGACATAAGGAAGCTGATGTTTATTCCTCTCGGATTTGAATTCTCAGCTGGTTGGAGTGCGCCCTCCTAGGGCCCATTTGCAGGGCAGGCTGGTCTGTGGCCTTGCAGCCAGGCAGGTGGGAGGGGCTTTTCCTTATGTAAAGTGGCTTGGCCGGGAGAGGCAGGAAACCTGGCCACTGAGCTCCATCAGCATCACCCTGGCCAGTGTGCCTTGAGGAGTTGGGGAGTCTGGCCTGGAAAAAAATGACTCTTGGGGCTCACCCAGAAGGCTCGCCTAGGGCTTTTGAGGAGAGTAGGAGAGGTGATCTGACTCACTTCAGGAAGCTGTAGGTTAGACACCCAGGACTGGACTGACTGAATGTAGCTTCAGGATCCCCAGTGGGGACACAGGGAGCCTGTTCACAGGCCCAGAACTTTGGGGGTGCCTCTGCCCTGGGGCTGCAATTGCAGACTGCTGGGTGTTCCTCACTAGGAAGGGCAGCGGCGCCCTCTAGTGCTCCCAAGTGGCACTGATGCCCCATGGAGAGGCGGGAAGCCGTGTGTGTTGGGCGCCTAGTTTCCAGAATAAAGCAGCTGCTGTTGGAGAAAGCAGCGACTGGAAGAGGGGAACAAGGGTGTGAAGGGCTGAGAAGATAGTCCTCCTGTTCTTCCTAACCTGGCCCCTTGTTTGCTAGGTCCCGTGGCTGTTACACTAAGTCCCTACCAGTGTGTGTGAGAGTGTGTGTGTGTGTGTCGGGGAGTTGGTCATGGAGACCAAGCTCCCACTTGGCCACTGGACAAATCCCCACTCACCAGTCCTGCTGTGAGCCATTCATTTTGAGCAGTGGTGCAGGCTGCTCAGTGTGTGTGTAGAATGGTCAAGACCATGGATGTTAACCCTGCCCGTTCCAGAGCAATTTGTTTTTGTGTCTGTCCCTCCCTTTCTAATCCTTTTAGAGTAACCAGGGCAGGTTACTGTGTCCCTTGCCCTCCTCTCATCACACTGACTTTAGAGCTTTGTGCACAGTAGGGGAGCAGGTGGTGAACACAGACATTGTTTTAACTGGGGTAAGTGGTCCAGTACACAGGCAAGTGCACTGAAGCCTTTCACGACCTCTGCGCCACCAGCCCCTCCCCAGGGGTGTGGACAAAGTCCCCAGTGGCCTGGAGTGTGCCCTGGCGGCTGGAAGAGCTTGAATTCTCGGCGGAGTGAATGAATAACTATGCTGCGTGCCCAGGGACTTAGTGTGGTCATACATCCTGCCGGTGCCTGTTTTCCTGGCACAGCTAATAGTGTCTTGTTACCACATTTAAAATGTTGTGGTTTGGGAGAGAAATTACATGTTTCCCCTACTTACAGCTCACAAGGCCCCACTGTGTCACCACATTGACAGATGATGGGAGAGGATGTGTCCAGTCTCCTGCCTCTCAGGCAGATGACAGGGGATCATGCCCTAGGAGAGAGGGTTGAAGGGCACGCTGGCTGGGGGTGGTTATGCCTCAGAGGCTGGCTTTGGCCTTTTGGGGACCTGCCTGGTGGAGAGCTTTTGCAGATCCACATGCCCTCTCTGGGATCAGTGCATGGGAGTAAAAGGACACAGAGCTCATCTTGGCCGGAGGAGGAGTTTCCACCAGTGAATTCTGGTCTCCGCCTACAGAGGTGGCTCAGTGGTACAGTGAGTGGCCCAGTGACAGTGCTTAAGAAGAGGGAGGCTATTGGAATGAATGGATGATTCCTGCAGTAAATAGCAGGTCTAACCAATCATTTGAAGGTTCCTACAGGCCCCAAAGTTTTATTTCCATAGCTTGAAAGGGCAGAGCCATTTGGATTTCCGATCCCCCCCCCCCCCCGACTCTTGGTCCTAAAAGAGATGAATCAGCATATGTTGAAACCTCCACTGCTTGGCAGGGGCGTGGCACTGGACTAGGCTGGCAGGGTGGGTTTTAGTGACAGGTGTTTGGCGGTTCTCAGAGCATAACCTGCAAAGATGACAACATGTGGGAACGTATCTCTGATCTGTGCCAGGTGGAATGGTAGGGGATATTTTAAAGTGAGAACCTTCAGAATGTGCATCTCATGGAGCAGGGGTGAGGGAGGCCTGGGGGAGGGGTTTGTTGCTGGGTAGGAGGGATGGACAGGATGTTCTTAGAGGGAGCCTGTCCAGCTGTGGGGAGCCTGCTGGGCCTGGCACCTGGACTCCCTTACTCCAGGGAAAGCTCTTTGCTGGTTCCATACCAATGGGTTTGTGTGCACCTCTGGGGAGCCAGTGGGGGTTGCCAGCCTAGCCTGGGGCTCCAGCCTACTCCTCTGCCATTCTGCTGCCCTACAGTTCTGACTGCCAACCAGGTTGCTGCAAAACTGCAAGGGTGGGTGGGGCCAGGCCAGGGCTGAGCTTGGTGCTATTTAATACTGGTGGAGTTCTCCTCCCCCCAGGCCCCTCTGGCCAATTGTCATAATGGAGACTGGGGAAGCGGTGGCTCAGAGCACCCCAGCTTTGTTTCTGGGGGCTGCAGCCTGCTGGCAGGGTTGGCTATATCTGATGTGGGTGCTCCAGTGGGGGGCACCCTAGGGTAGAGTCTTGACCCATGTAGTGGTGCTTCGTTACTCTCCTTGGTCCCTCAGGTAGCTGGGTGTGCCTTGGCCCTGGGCATGTTTGATATGAAGGGAGAGTTTGCAGTGGTGGGCACTCTGGGCCTAGGACTATCCCTGTTTCTCTCATGTGTGGCCATAGAGGCGGAGTGGTGCTGGGAAGTCCAGGTAGGGTGGGAACAGGTGGGACTTTTTCCTCCTCTCACTCCATCTCTAGGTGGTAGCATGGGACTGGGAATCTGTGCTTGGATGGGGAGTTATTGCAGGGTAAAAACAGGGCCAGGAGAATCTCTGGAAGTTGGATTCTTTTATTTATTTATTTATTTAGTCTTTACCTGAGGACATTGTTTTTGCATTTATCTTCAGACAGAGCGGGAGGGAGAGAGGGGGGAAGAGAGAGGGAGAGAAACATCGATGTGAGAGAGACACATCTACTGGTTGCCACCCACACGACCCCAACCGGGGCCGGGGACAAACTGCAACCGAGGTACGTGCCCTTAGTGGGAACCGAACCCAGGACTCTCTGGTCTGCGGGCTGACGCTCTAACCGCTGAGCCAGACTGGCCAGGGCTGGAAGCTGGATTCTTAAGAGAAACCCAGGGGGTGGGGACCTGGATGTGCCCTGTCTGTGAGGCTGGGTTCACAGACTTGCAGACTGTAGGGAAGCCCACCTGTGCTGCTGGTTGAACGGAGTCCTTCCCATATCCTGTCCCTGGTGTTTGTGGACAAGCTGGCCCTACCTCTGCCCAGCTCTGTGTGGGGCCTGCTCTGTCCTGGGCCCTGGTTCTCAGAAGAATCCTGGTAAGCTCCAGACTTCTTGGCCTCTTTCGCTAAATGCTCCTCTATTCCAACCTGCAGTCCTCATGGACTGATGGGGGAAGCCCGACTTCTGCCAGCTCACGCCCCCCCCCCCCCAGGATTTCCCTATAGGAAGAAGCAGCTTGAGTGGAGAAGATGGAGGTGTAGGAGCTCCCCAGGATGCTTCCACTTGGGCAGGGGTCAAGGAATTGGGGTCTTGGGGCTTGGAGTGGGGGCTGGGGGACAGGGCTCAGTTAATAGGTGAGACCACAGAAATCTGGGTCTGACTTGTGGGCTCAACTGCAAGGCAGCCGCAAACCACAGTCAAACTGCTGCAGATTGGGGTGTTGGATCCTGTACTGTCTTTCTGGCCTTCTGTCTGTGCCTGGGAGTATCCTGGCGAAACTGAGAGCTCTCGTTTCAGAGGCTGCTTTCGAGGCTGGCCCGTGGGTGCCATTTGTGCAGGGCACCGTCTCCCTGGAGCCGGTCCCTGCGGATGCCTGGCAGTAGATGTCCTCGGCAGTGGCTCACTGTCCTCCGTGGACAGTTAGTACTGACACCTTGTCCTGCCTAATGACACCCGATAACCACTGCCTGTTTCTGCAAGGAATCAGTCATGTCTCCTTTAGTGTTGGCTCTGTCCAGCCAGATATCTAGGCTGGCCTTTCTCTGGTCCCTGTCCCCTCCAAGCCAGTCCTTGAAGGGATGTAAGGCACGTTCTGATTGGTTCATCAGGCATAATTCTGGTGTTGAGTAGAATCTTCAGCATGGGATAGTGGAAAGAACTCTTGGTTTAGGTTGGGATCCTGCCTGTAAAATGGGATTATTGCTTCCCAGGGTTGGAAAGATGGAATGAACTCTGTCCAGCATCTTCCTCCGTGGGTGATGCCTAATATATGTCACATGTTGGGTCTTCCCTCTGTCCCCTGACCAACACAGGTGCCTGCACCCAGCCTGTGTGGCATGCGGCACCTTGTCCAGAGGCAGGTGGGGGGCCGGGGGCAGGGGGCGTGGCATTCAGCAGGGGCTTTCCAGTCTTGGCATTAACCTGGAGGCTCACGGTTTTGTCTCCCTCCACAGCCTGGACGTGTCTCCTCAGGTAGAACCTGACCCAGCTGCTCTTCCTCACCACCTCCCCTGCTCCCCCTGTGCTCCGGCCCCCCCCACTCCTGCTCCCACCGCTGCTCCCACGCTAAGCACTAACCTTTTTGCAGCCGCCTCCCCTGCTGCCGCCACTGCCACCGCAGCCCCTGAAGCCACCCCGTCTGGATTCTTGGGGCTCACCAACCCATTCCTCACCTCCTTGCAGAGCAACCCCTTCTTTGAGGAACTCAGAGCCGACATAGCACTAAACTCTCCTTCACCTGCTCCCTCTCTCCCCAGTGCCTCCCGGGCCAGTCCCACCCCCCTGGCCTCCCCTGGGAAAGCCCCGCCTGAGTGGGACGACACCTTCAACATCTTTGCTGCCAGCAGGCTGCGTCCAGAGGCCAGGAGTGAGATCCTGGCCCCCGCAGGAGTGGGCCTGGAGGCCGCTGGGCTGCAAGACCCAGGTCCTGGGGCCATGACAGTGGAGGCAGCTGAGCCCCAAGGGGACCCAGGGGGAGGAGGAAGAGGTGGGAGCAGTGAGTGGCTGGAGCCCAGGGTTCCTCTGGACTTGGGATTGGACCACCAGAGTGTGAGTGCCGCCGACCCGGGGCCTCTCAGGTCTGTGGGGGCTGGCCTGCCCTCCACGTCAGCCTCGTTGCACCCGAGAGCCTCAGACTCCGAAGCAGACAGGGAGCCGATGGCCCCCGGAGGGGAAGCAGGGCAGAGTCCAGCAGACAGTGCGACATCTCTGTTTAGCTCCCCAGAAGTGATCAGTGTGTGGGAGAGGCTGCCTGGCCCAGACGATGCCCCTGAGGGCCCGTATGAGGAGGCCTCCAGAGGCAAAAGCCAGCTTTTGCAGGAGCTCAATACAGTCGACAATTCCTGGCCTTGGGATGTGGTCACCCTTTCTCCTGCAGCTGAGACGACCTCACCAGTCATACAGGGAGAGTCTGATGAATTGCCTCCTCCTCGGGTGAAGCCAGAGTCACCAGGACCTGTGAGCCCCACAGGGAACCAGGGGCTTCCCCAGCGGGAGCTGGAGCCGGAGCCCAGACCTGAGTGGGTGTTGGACACGGAGCTGCAGCCCAGCATGCTGCCTCCCAAGCCCCCACGCCTCTTCACACACGCAGATTACCAGGACAAGAAGGAGGAGGAGGAGAAGGCTACCGTGGGGCTGAGTGGCAGGAGGGCAGAGGCAGAAGAAGATGCCTTCCCAAGTGCACTGGATGCTCGTCCCCTGGAGGCCAAGCAGGACGGCAAGAAGCCAGGGTCAGAGTCTGGAAGCTGTCCCTCCGGGGCCCTGCTGAGTGAGCCAGTGGAGGATGCCAGCCCTCCTGTGTCTGGACCCTGTTTATCTCTGCCCGCCAGCTGCCCAGAGGGTCCTGTTCCTGTACCATCTTATTCAAAGGGCCTGGCTCTTCAGAGCCAGCAGATCTGGGGGGCTCTGGAGAAAGGAGAAGGCCCTGAGGCTCCTGAGGCTCCTGGGGCCCAGAGCCAGGAGCCAGCAGGAGAGGGGCTTGGGCCCCTGCCGGGCAGCTCCCAACAGCCTGACTTGTGGGCTTTGGAGGAGGATGCCTTGAACCCCTTCTTGTCTCTGGAGAGCCGAGATCCCCCCAGCCTCCCGTCCACATCCCCTCCAGAGTCCAGGGAATCCTCCATCTACTGTGGACCAGAAGAGCTGCCCACACCCCCAGAGCCTGCCTTTCTGACCTCTTTCTTTCTGCCCCCTGGGGAGCCAGCCTCCCCCCCTGGGGGCTCCCCCACCCCACTTGGGGAGGACCACGCTGCAGCCACCCCAGCCTCCCCGCTTGTGCTTCTGCCCTTGGAGACACGACCAGCTGAGGAGCCACAGCCCAGTGCCAGGTGAGCAGCCCCCCTGACAGCGCTGTCCAGGAGGAAGGGGTGAAGGGGGCAGTGCAGCCCAAGAGCCGAGGTGTCCACAGTCCAGCCTCAGCGCCTCCAGGGGGGTGTGAGGGGTGAATTCACCCGGGCAGCGCGAGGGGGGCTTTGAAGACATGAGCCTTCTGTGGTAGGGGCTCTGAAACTGCCTCCTCCGGGGACCTTAGACCAGCAGGTGCCCCCATCAGCCAGGTCTTTGGAGGATGACTACACTGATGGGCCACAGCGGGTGAGGAACGGGGCAGGGAGAGGTGATGAGGGAGGGAGGTGAGCGCTAAGGCACTCAGCCGCTAGGGGCTGGCGGCAGCGAAGCTTGGCAGATGCCCCCACCCCTCCCGTCCTCTGCCACAGGCCCCGGGTGAGAGGCTGCGGAAAGCAGAGAGCCAGAGGACAGAGAAGGGACTGGTACTCAGAGAGGAAAGCAGAGACCGCAGTGGAGGAAAAGAAGAAGAAAGACACGCTCCCCATGTATGTGACCCTCAGAAGAAGGGGCCCTAGCCTCATGAGGTGCTCACTGCTCTGTGTCTGTGCCTTCAGGGCGCTCCCCATGCAAGTAGGACTGCAGAGTCGACAGTGGTTGCCTGTGGCTGGTCACTGTGGCCTGTTTGGGAAGAATTTTGAGGCTATGACCTCACTGGGTGGCTGCTGAGGGGTGTCCAGGTCACTGGGGGGTGATAGGGGTGACTGATCAGGGGCAGCAAAGCCCAGAGGGTGCCAGCGCTCTAGGAGGCCTGAGTGAAGAAGTGAGGGGAGCAGAGGTGCTGCTGCCTCCGATAAGCAGGCAGGGCCAGGGGTTTGGGGAGCAGGACAGGCTCCAGCACTGGCCTCTGTGAGGCCCCAGCCCCCTGGCTCATGCATTCGGTCCTGCGGATTCACTGAGCATCCATGTGTCAGACACCTGACAGGGATGAGAGATGCTGTCCCCACCCCATTCGGTTCCAGCCCAGTGGGGAAGAAGGAACCGAGGCTTGAAGGGAAGGCCCAGGGCCAGTGCTGCAAGCGAAGGGCTGCAGAGCAGGCTGGCGGCCCTGTCTGCTGCTGCAGTGGGTGCTGAGGCCATTCCCAGAGGTGTGGGAGAGGAGCTGGTCACAGCTTCCCAGTGTCCTTGGCTGGCCCCGCTGTATTCTAGCAGCACTTCTAATTAAACTGGTCACTTTTACCAAGTTTTCTTCTCTTCAGAGTTGGCTTTATGCCTATATTTGGCATGTTCCTTACATCATGAAGTGGATGGGCTAACTAGAGCTGTCCCCAATTCTCAGATGGGGACATGGAGTCCATGAGAGCTCCAGAGTCCAGGGTGCCTCAGATCAGGGGGCAATCGGACCGGGAGCCCAGGACTCCTGGCCCTCACTCAGGGTGTTTGTACGCCTCACTGGTACTCCTCCCTGCCCCCAGGGCGTGAGAGCTGCCTTCACCCCCTTCCTTAATGCAAACCCCTGGTGGGAGGGACAGGCTGAGATATGTCCTTTTCCCTACCACCTACCCCTGGCTGGGCTCTCTGCGTCTGTTCCTGGGTCGTGAGGCTGAGTCCACAGCCCTCTCCTGGGTAACAGAGTAAACGTCCCTGGATGTGGGCGAGCCCTTCTGTGGATTTCAGGGCCTTGGTCTAAGCCACTCTGCCTCCTACTCTCTAATGGTCTGAATCCTCTGTGAAGTAAACATAATTTGTCAGCGGTCCCCTTGGGTAGGCTAATTGAATTAGGGGCCTGATGCTTGCAATTTGGGTAACTGTCTGGGGGAATCCCAGAGGAGGGACACCTTAGTCAGCCTGGGGGAATCAGGAAGGTTTCCTGGAGGAAGTGTCTTGGCACAACTTTGAAACCTGAGTAGAAGTTAGCAGGCCCCCAGGAGAAAGGGCAGCAGTCCAGACTGAGGCACAGCTTTCGTAAGAACCAAACGGTGAGGAGAGCCTGTCTCCCGGCTGGAGCCGTGGGGCGGAGGGCCCGGGGAAAGGCCGGGGGCGGGCCGTGTTGGAGGCTGCTGTCTGCCCGAGAGGGAGGCTGGGACCGTGAGCCCACGGCGCAGTGGAGAGTGGTGGAGGTGGGCAGGACTGACCCAGGAGCTGATGTAGCAGCTGTGGCCAGAAGGAGGAAGGTCTAGCGAGCCCTGGCCTGGACAGGAGGGTGCTATGAGGAAAGGTGAAAAGGTAGCAGGACTTGATGTTTTGTGAAGGCTAAAGCCAAAGTGGGGATTCAGAGGGGTTCCCAGATTTCTGACAAAAGCCATGGGAGGCTAGTGGTGCCACACACCACTGAGGAGCACAGGGAAGGGCAGGCGCGGAGGGAAGGGTGATGTGCCTGGGGGACCCCCAAGTGGAGGAAGCCAGCCTGAAACTGTCTGTGTGGGTCCAGAACTCAGGGCTGAGGTCTTGGCAGGAGACCGCCGTGAGGAGGTGGAGGGGAGAGAACCCCAGACAGGCTCACATGTAAGACTGAGAAGGGCTGTTAGAAGTTGGAAAAGCAGAGAAGGGCTTGGTGGGGGGGGGGGGGGAACGAGGGAGGAGAGCAGCACAGAGAAAGGAGTGGTCCAAGGGTCACTCCACAGAGAGGTCAGGAAGGTGAGAACTCGGGGGTTCTGAGCAGGAACATTTGCGATGGGCGGGTGGGTGCTCACGTCCTGTTCTGTGGGTTGAGGAGCCAGTGGAGGTGAGAACTGTAGAGACAGGATGTAGTCTGCATGCTCTGGGGAGGCTGGATGAGAAGGAAGAAGAGGCAGGGATGACCAAGGGTGGCAGCCAGGCAAACATCAGGTAAAGGGAGGGGTTTTCAGGTCGGTGTAAATGCTGAGTGGGAGCAGCCAGTGAGAGAGGTGGGCAGGCAAGTGTCCCAGTGTGCCCAGCTTTCCTGGTTTTAGCACTGAAAGTCCCACTTCCTGAGAATCCTCACAGTCCTGGGAAAATTGCAAAACTGGAAGGGTTGTTCAACCCCCCTCCCAAACCAGAGCAAGGTTCTAATACAGGAAAGTATGGAGGGAAGATGGGTGGGGTGAGGCGGCCCTGCAGACTGGGTATAGGTGCAGCGAAGTTTGTAGGAGGCTTCTGCTGTCCCTGTGAAGGGGCGGGGTCATCTGGGGAGTGACATGGGGAGGGCCAGGTGGTGGGGTGCTGAGGAATGCTGGACACAGCTGCCTGAGGCCTTGGCTATGTAGAGGCAGCCACCACCAAGTGGTGGGTCTCTGTCCAGCAGACCTGTGGCCCCACCTTTTCCTTGTGCTCCCCATCCCTCTCCATAACACACCTCCTGTCTGTCTCCACAGTCCCCACCCTGTGAAGCCCCTCAGTGCTGCCCCCGTGGAGGGCAGCCCCGACAAGAAGCAGCCCCGCTCCAGTCTGAGCACAGCCCTGAGCAGTGGGCTGGAGAAGCTGAAGACAGTCACATCTGGCAGCGTTCAGCCTGTGGCTCTGGCCTCCCAGGTTGGCCAGCCCGTGGACACCAAGAGGCTGAAGGTGAGGCCTAGCAGGACGCCCCGGGGGATCAGACCAGTCGTGTAGTGCCGTGGAGAGAGGCCAGGTGTCTTGAGTTCAGAAACAGGGTGCAGGGCAGGGTGGAGCAAGGGGCACGCCTGGTCTTACATGCCAGAGCCCTGAGCCAGGTAGGCCATTTCTGGCATTGGAGACAGAGGCAGCTCTAGGGGCCTATGGTGTCAGTGAGCAGGCAGGCAGGTAGGCCTGAGGGTGCTCTGCTGACTCTCATTCCATCTGACCTCAGGATTCTGGTGCGCCGGACCAGTCGGCCAAGTACTACCATCTGACCCACGACGAACTCATCAGCCTGCTCCTGCAGCGGGAGCGGGAGCTGAGCCAGCGGGATGAGCATGTGCAGGAGCTGGAGAGCTACATTGACCGGCTGCTGGTGCGGATCATGGAGACCTCACCCACACTGCTGCAGATCCCCCCCGACATCCCCAAGTAGCCCTCTTCAACCCCAGCCCCCGGGAGGGTCGGCACGGACCCACTGCCCACACAGGGCTCTCACCCTCCTTACTCCTGCTGAGCTCACTCACCTGGGGCAAGGTGCAGTCTGTCTTCTGTTGTCACCCCTTTGCTCCCCCTCCCTCCTGCCTCAACTGAGGCTGCTGGAAGGGGGGACTTTGGGCTCTCATTAGAGGTGGGTCTCACCCACTTGCCTATTTTCATACCCCGTAGCTTTGGGGGCTCCAGAAATTGAACAAAGAATTTAGCCCTCAAGACAGAGAAGGGGTGAGCTGCAATTTGATGTGGTACCTGGAACATACTTTATTACCCCACAGGGATGGTCAGCCATTTCTTCCACAGCTAAACCCTTGTCCCTCCAGCCTCTGGATGGGTCCTAGTATTACTAGGGCTGTGGCAGGGACCAAGCTGCTCATTCGTCTGTAAGTTATGGGCAACCAGGGCACCTGCCCTTCAGCCTCGTTGGTTCCCCCGAGAGCAAGGAGCCTGTATGGTCTAGTGTTGAGTCTGTCTGTCTCCAGCTGTTTGAGGAGCAAATGTGTGGATGGAGGGTGATGATTTGCATTCTCCAGGCCACTCCCTGCCCTCCTCTTTCCATGAGTGTCTTGTGTGAATGTGTGGAGAGCTGGGGCAGGTGTGGAGAGACCACCTCCTCATTCACCTCCAAGGTTGAGCCCCTCCAGGCCTTGGGGCCTTGGCTTGTTTATGTAAGGGGATCAAGCTTCCATCAGTGTTCTTGTTGCCTGTCCAGATGCCAAAACTCTGTGCTGCTACAGGATTTGAACTTTTGGAAACTGATTAAAATGTGCCTTTTGTGGGTGGGGTCAAGAGCCTCTGGATGTGGACCCCACCCCCTGTTTGGCGACCCTCTCCCTTCCTGTTGAGCACATGGGGCTGATGGATCTGGCAGAACCCTAGGAACAGAAATGGAGGATGGGGCAGCCCTATGATGCTTGTCCTCCCCTAGGGTTAATATCAGTTAAGGGTCCAGCCAAGCTGCTGCTGCTCCCTTTACCTACCTGCTGTCTTCTCTTACTCCCTCTATACCAATTGAGGGGGGTCCTGGGGGAAAAGAACTACATTCTGGAAGTGGGAGGTCCCACTCTTCCTATACTTAGGAAAAAGTTGTCCTCCCATCCATCCACAACCTGCTGTCCCAGTCTGTCCCCATAGCCTTGACTGGCTTGGCTGAGGTGCACTTTGAAATTACATGTCTGTCCTTTGACCCAGCCCTGGTTTGCTTGCAGAAAAACAGCAGGCTTCCCCACGGCATCTGCAGGGGACCTTTGGTGGCTTGGGGCACCCTGCCTTAGTAAAGTTGTGGGGTGAGGTGCTGAATGAGGATAGTTTTGACCCAGTGAGGAGGCAAGAGCCCCTCTGGGATCTCCTCTTTTCACGAGCTGGCCGGTGGGGTCGCTCTCCGGAATCACTCGGAGAGCCTTGGAAGGAGATCTGCTCTGGGAGGGATATCTTCTGCCAGGACAAAGCAGAGGAGCTCCATCGATGGGGGAAAGCCCCGGTAATGTTATCTACCTTAAGGACCGCTCATCAAAGCTGAGGAAAGTGTCCACAGGTACCTAGGGCTCAGGTCATGTTTTTGGGTGGGTCATTGGGGGTTGGATGAGTATCTTTTCTGGGGGAAGGGGGTCACTCCTCTACTAGGTATTCCTCTGGGCTCTATTCAGCCCCTGCCCTGACACTGACCTCCCACTCATCCATGATTATGGGCCTCCAAAATACCCAGGTCAGGGATGTCTTTGGAAGTTTGGAGTTGAAGCCCAAGGTTCTTGTTGGAGGTGTCTGCTCCTGGTCACGAGTGGGAAGAGCTGCAGGCGGGGTGGCCAGGGAGCAGGAACAGTCCTGCTTTGCCGTTTGTCTTCCTAGTTGTAACTTTTTGTTTATAAAGACCTTGTTCTTCATGTTTCAAGCACTTTATGAAGAATAAAAAGTTCACAGACTGCAGGTGGCTCTGTTGTGTTCCTGGTTTGATGAGCATGTGAAGCAGGCTTCCGAAGGGAAGGGAGGTGATGGCGTTCTTAGATGACACTGGCCCTGTCCTAACATCAGGGCAGCGGCACAGTGTTGTCCAGTGGCCTGGACTCGGTCTTTTCTCACTCCCAGGATACCCACATATATTGAGTACTTTGGGGGAATACAGAGGATAAAAGACTTGATTCCTATTCTCAAGCCACTTGGTCTAGTGGAGAAAGATAAGCTACAAATCCAAGACACAAATGGTTCTTTGCTAGCTAGAATCTCCGGCTTTAGGGAAAGTCTGTTTGCTTGTGGTTCAGCCGTTGGAGGATGAAGAAACTGACTGCTACAGATCATGCATTGTTCAGAAATGCATGGGAAGGCATCTGCCAACCCTGCACCTCACCACAAGACTAAGGAGACCTAAAGTGGGGTTCCCTAGGGTCAAACCATGTTTTTACTGTCCTCTTGTATGAAACAGGCAGAAGCTCCTCTCCTCTCTCCATGTGTTCATTATCCCTGCTGGTGCCTTGCTTTACATTCTGCAGTACTCCCCTTACCTCAAGTCCTTGTAGAGTTTCAAAAACACCACTGAACCCCACTCCCAGTTCTCTTCTTGCCCAGAATTAGCCCCAGGAGGGATATTCTTTGGCAAAAGGAAGTGGAGGCTGCTAAAGCTCCTAAGACCCTCACCCCCCCCCACGAGTTTGACTCAGCCAACAAATATCTGAGCCTCTGCTGTGAGCTCTTCCATGTCTGGCACCGGGGCGAGGACTTAGCAGTGAATCAGAAAGTCACAACCCCTGCCCTGTGGACCTTACAATAGGAAAGAAAGATACTCAAAACCATAATTATAAATGCAAGGGCTGCAACAGAGAAGTGCTGGGTGCTATAGGAGCATGTGGTGTTGGTTTTGGGGACATAGATCCATGGATTGGGAAACAATGTTTTTACCCTGAGGCCATAAAGAGTGTGTATGTGTGTGTGTGTGTGTGTGGGGGGGGGGGCTCCAGGAACTGACAGCATGGCTATATAGAGCACAAGGCAAGAGGCAGGGTGGGACAGAAGAAATTGCATAAATATTCTGCAGTGCAACTTCCTGCAGAAAGCCTTCGGAGATTAACCCTACTCGGCCTGGAGTCCTGGCCCATCTGGTCCCGGGTCGGACCCGCTTGAGTAATGCTCTTTTGAGCTGCAGCTCTAGAAGTGACGCCCACCGCAGCAACTCAAACTTCTAGGGGCAAGTAACCAGCGAGGGGTCACTCCGTGGCCCCTTTAGTAGAGACCTTAGCGTCGTACACGCACACTTGCCCCGGACTGCAAAACTGGCAGCGGGAACCTAATCCCAGTCTGCGTTGGTGCAACTCTGCAGTCTAGGGGTGTCCAGCGTCTTGACAAGGAAAACTACACTCCCCAAAACCCCTTGCGGCTCCGGCTCGCTGCGGTTGCTTATGGCCAATCCGGAGACGTAGCTGTGGCGGGGGCCGAGGAGGGACATTTTAAAAGGGCCGGAGATTGCGGGCGTCAGTGGCCATGGCGGATACAGCGACTACAGCATCGGCAGCAGCGGCAAGTGCCGCTAGCGCCTCGACAGATGCACCTCCTTTCCAGCTGGGCAAACCCCGCTTCCAGCAGGTGAGGACTGGGTTGTGGTCTGAGGTTCAGCGGGTGGCACAGGGAGGGTGAACAAACTCCTCTGCAAAATCCCCTTTAGCCTTAGGGTCTCCGACCCGCGGCCACCCCGGAGCCTGCAGCTACTGGATCGGGGACCTCGGCCAAAGTCGCTCCTTTTCCATTGGTCAGCGGGGTGAGCGAGGACTCCCACCTTGGCTCCCTATTGGCCGTCGGCACTGTCGCTCTGCGGCTGCCCGCGCCCTCCAGCCTTTCCCTCCCGAGGTGCTCTGTGATTGGCCGCTGCCGGCCGCGGCCGGGGATGTGGGCACCTGGGTCCGAGTGGCTTCTGCAGGGTCCCTTTGGGTTGTGCAGCTGCCCACTCTGGGCGGAAAGTTTGGGTCCGGCCCTGAATGAGAAGTTGCCTTGGCCGAGATGCCTTCTGACTTTTTACCCAGGGTGGGAACTGACAGTCTTCCCGAGCTTTTGGAGGAGCCTCCGGCGGCATCAGTGCCCCGCGGCCAAGCTCCCAGCCCTCCATGCCAAACGGGTCCGCCGCGCGCGCGAGGGGTCAGGGCCACGAGTCGAGGGGTGCTCGCGGCCCAGCGATTCCGGTCCCCTCCTGCGAGTGATTCGCTGACGCAGCGAGTCGGCCGGCTGGTGCCCTGCCGGGGATGAAGCGAGGACTTGCGGAGAGAGCTGGGTGCGGGGGAAACGCTGTGTCATCTCCTGGGGCAGGCGGCTGCGGGGAGGGTCTGCGTCCCTGGGAACATGCACCGGCCGCCTCCGCTGCGGCCTCGGCACCCGAGCCCAGGCGCCGCCGAGCGCTCGGCTCTGTCCGACCTGCTCGGGCTTTTCGGGGTGCCGTAACAGAGGTCCATTTCTTCCGGGGCCCCCCGCAGGGCACGGGTAACTCGACCTCGGCCACGGAGACGGGGATCGAACCCGCAGCCTGGACGTGAGGCCGGGGCTACAGGCAGGGAAGGGCCGTTCCCACGCTGCGGGCTGCCTCGTAGGCTTGGGCCCCAGCTGCCTCCAACGCCGAGGAAATGGAATTTATTAGGAAAAGGGCAGAGACTCGGCTGAAGTGAAGCTGGGCTGGCCTGGGGTGGGGGACAGCGGAGGCGGACAGAAAAGAAGTTTGCAGGAAGAAAGGAAATGTACAAAGGTCGGTGCGGTGGGTTTTTAATTTTAATTTTATTTATTTATTTATTTTTTTGGTGGGTGGTGGTGGTAGAGAAACTGGTTCTAGCAAGGTGATGCACCGAGTTTTGCTGATAATTCAGAGCTGTGTCCCTAAGCCTTCTGAGAAAGTGTTTCCACTGTTTTAAAATAGGACTTGAATTGTTTTAAAAAACAAACCATCTCAGCATGTAGGTGTCTGAGGTGAGACTGGTGTCTTCCTACCAGCGTAGGGTGCCATCTAGGGTGAGACAGTCAGGGGTGCCTCTGCCTGAACTTGAGTAACCCTTCATGGGCTGTCCCCCTTTCCTGCCCTGCGCATTTGTCAAGACTTAGGACCACCTCCTCCCTTCTTCCCCTGTGACGTTATTCCCTGATAGGACCAGGGTACTGACTCCTTCCTGCTTACCTCTTTGGCCACCACAAGTGGGGTCCTTATAAGTCAGCCTGCCCTATGGCCCTTTAATACTTCTCTGTTTGGTTACTTGGTCCCCTTAACCCCTGTGTGCACCTTTTGAGTGAAAGGGCTGATCTTTGCCCTTCTGTTGTCTCCATCTTAACCCTGTGGCCCATGGGGCTAGACACAGTAATGTGCTGAATAAAGATCTGTGGGATGGTTTTTCTCTGGTACTTGTTCTGGGACATTCAGTCACACAACAGACATTTATCAAGAACTTCCAAGTGGACTGAACCCTTTGTGTGATCATCGCTAGAGCCATAAATGCACATTTGAGACTACTCTGTTCTGGCAGCCATTGCTTGTATCTCTTCTTTGGCAGGGCTCTGGAAGGCGGTAACAATGTTTGCTTTTGAAGCGCCCCGCCTCCAGCACAGGAACCTGTACCGTGCATGTGATCCATGTGTTAAGGAACTCTGTCTGCTTCCCCCTCAAACCTGTTCCCTGCCACACTGCTCCCGCTGTGCAAGCAGCCCAGCCTACCACCCGACTGACTCCTAAGAAACCCGGGAGTCACCCATATACTTTCTCTCCCTCACTTTCTAAATACAATCAGAGGTGTTCTCATCTCTTAAACAGCTGTCGAATCCACTGGTGTCCACTGCCAGAATCCTAGACCAGGCCCCATCAACTATCTCCTGAGCCACTGTGGAAGCCGCCTGACAGGTCTCGCAGCTTCCACTTTCAACACTCCCTTTTCCTCATGGCAGAGTCCAGTGCAGGTCTGATCAAGTGACTCCCCCCTCCCCTAAACTTAAACACCCTCCAGTGGCTTCTGAAGTAAAGACCCCACTTTTGAAGGGGTCCCAAAGACCTGTATGACTCACCGCTGCTGACCTTTTCTTCCTCGAACTGAACCCCCACCCACCCTCTCAAACCCCCCCTTTTCTCCACATTGGCTGCTTTCATCCCCTTGAACCCTGAGTGATTCATAATCCAGGGTCCATCCCCAGAGCGCACATTAGGGACACCACTTTCAATCCCTAGCCAGTCTCATCACTTTCTGCAAGAATGGGCACCAGAGTCTGTCCTTATTCCTGGGAGTTGCCCCAAACCCTTCTTTCATCCTTCAAGGATCTCCCTGCATGGGAGGGCAGAAAAGCAAGGGCATTGAGCCATGTCAGAGAATGGAGATGGATAGGTTGCCTCAGTGGCCTTTGGTCTCTGACCATCTTTCTTCCCATAAGATGATGGTGATAGCCAAGCATTGTTCCAACCTTTTTGTGTACTGACTTACATAAGTTTCACAACAACAGTTATCCCTTATATTATTGGTGAGAAAACTGCAGCACACAAATAGATGAACTAACTTCCTAGGCATTCTGACTCCAGAGTCAATATTTGTTTATGGTCAACTTTTTATTATGGGAGTTTCCAAGCATAAAAAGTGGAGACAGCCTGGCCAGTTGGCTCAGTGGTTGAGCATCGACCCATGCACCAAGTGGTCGCGGACGCATGCCCAGGTTGTGGGCTTGATCTCCAGTGGGGGGCATGCAGGAGGCAGCCAATCGATGTTCTCTCTCATCGATGTTTCCATCTCTCTCTTCCTCTCCCTTCCTCTCTCTCTCTCAAACCAATAAAGGATAAAAAAGTGGAGACAGTTGACAATGATTTCTGTGCACCCATCACACAACTTCAACAATTGCAAATGAAAGGCCAGCCTCATTTCGTCTGTACATCCTCACCCCAACCAATGAATTATTTTAATTTTTTTCTTTATTGATTTTTTAGAGAGAGGAAGGGAGAGGGAGAGAGAGAAACATCGATGAGAGAGAACATCGATTGGTGGCCTCCTGCATGGCCCCCTACTGGGGATTTGGCCCACAACCTGGTCATGTGTCCTGACCCAGAATTGAACCAGCGACCTCTTGGTGCATGGGTAAGTGCTCAACCACTGAGCCACACTGGTTGGGCACCAAAGAATTATTTTAAAGCAAAGCCAAATATCCCATCATTTCCTTGTACCTGCTAATAAGTATTTCTAAAAAACAGAGACTTTGCCCTGGCTGGTTTGGCTCAGCAGTTAGAGCGTCAGCCTGCGGTCCAGAGAGACCCAGGTTTGGTTCCCGCTAAGGGCGCATACTTCAGTTGCGGTTTGTCCCTGGCCCTGGTTGGGTCGTGCGGGTGGCAGCCACTCAATGTGTCCCTTTCACGTGGATGTTTCTCTCTCTCTCTTTCTTTCTCTCTCTCTCTCTTTCTCTCTCTCTCTCCCGCTCTGTCTGAACAAAAAATGGAAAAAAAATGTCCTCGGGTGAGGATAAAGGAAAAAAAAAAGGATTTTTTTTTTTTTTTTTTTATAAAACAAACTTTTAGCCCTGGCCGGTTTGGCTCAGCGGTTAGAGCGTCCGCCTGCGGTCCGGAGAGGCCCGGGTTCGGTTCCCGCTAAGGGCATGTACCTCGGTTGCAGTTTGTCCCCGGCCCTGGTCGGTCGTGCGGGTGGCAGCCACACGATGTGTCCCTTTCACATCGATGTTTCCCTCTCTCTCTCTTCCTCTCTCTCCCTCCCACTCTGTCTGTACAAAAAATGGAAAGGTGTCCTCGAATGAGGATTTAAAAAAAAAAAAAAAAAAAAAGAAAAGTATAAAACAAACTTTTAAATTTTGGAATAAATTTACAGAAGTCAAAAAGAACAGAATTTCTGTATAACCCTCATCCAGTTTCCCCTAAATATTATCATCTCATATTACCATGGTATAGTTGTCAAAACTCAGAAACCAACTTGGGAACATTACTATTAACTACACTCCAGCCTTTTTTGAATTTCGCTTTTTTTTCCTCTTTATTGATTTTTAGAGAGAGAGGAAGGGAGAGAGAGAGAGATAGAAACATAGAGGAGAGAGAACATTGATTGGCCACCTCCTGCATGTTCCCCTCTGGGGATCAGGCCCACAACCTGGGCATGTGTCCTGACTGGGAATTGAACTGGTGACCTCTTGGTGCATGGGTCGACACTCAACCACTGAGCCACGCCGGCGGGCGGATTTCACTATTTTTTATACTAATGTTCCTTTTCTGTTCCAGGGCCTACCCAGGATCCCAGATGACATTTATTTTCATGTCTCCCTAGTTTCTCAGACTTTTCTTGTTTTCGATTACTTTTGACAATCTTGAGAAGTACTGGTCAGATATTTTATAGAATGTCCCTCAATTTGGGTTTCTCTAGTATCTGTAATGATTAGACTGGGGTTATGAGTTTTAGAGAAAGAATATCATGGAGCTGAAGTACCTTTTTCACATGGTATCAGGTTTTTTTTTTAATTAGTTTTAACATAGCCACAATACCATTTAACACACCTAAAATAAATTATTTCTTAATATCAGACCAGTCACTATTTGTCTTAGTCTGTTGGGGCTGCTATAACAAAATACCATAGATCTGGTAACT